CGGCCCCTCCCGGCGGAGCGCTGCCCTCCCAGGGCTCTTGGGCGGCCAGGTCTCCCCGCTCGCCTTTCTCTGCCGGGGAACCCCAGGGCAGGACACCCCTTTGAGCCCCACACGGTTGGCTGGCTGGAACGAAGGAGCCTGGTGGCCTCTGCCGCCTGAGGCCCCTGCTTCCCGGTGTCCGGATGTTCTCCGGATCGGTGGGTTGTGCCCATCTCCCCCCTCATCGCTGGGCTGGGGACTTGTGATAGTTAAGGATGGTGGGGTGAAGTAACCTGACCATATCTAAAGGGCCAAATGTTTCCTGGCCGCAAAGCCAGTGAGTTTGGGTGGGTTCAGCATTCTCCCTCCTTGGAGGAGAGGAGAGGAGAGGAGAGCAGTCCCAGCTAGCCCAACACAACCTTCTCCCCTGCTCTTTCTGCTTCAGAAATCCCATGTATATAAGAAGACCTTACAAGCCTTAATCTACCCCATTTCTTGCACAACGCCCCACAACTTTGAAGTGTGGACAGCCACAACGCCCACCTACTGCTACGAGTGCGAGGGGCTCCTGTGGGGCATTGCACGGCAGGGGATGCACTGCACGGAGTGTGGGGTCAAATGCCAGGAGAAGTGCCAAGACCTGCTCAACGCCGACTGTTTGCAGAGTAAGTCGCTGCTCTGGCTCCGTAGCTGGGGCGGTGGGGAGCTCTCCCGGGCCGTGGGGAAGAGCCGCTGCCTTTCTTGGCAAAGCAAAAGACGTCTGTAGGGAGGCCAACTTTCTTGGGCTCCGTGATGACTGCAGATGACACCATCTGCTGAGGGTCTGCCCTGGAGGAGGGAAAGCCGAGAGGCCGGGCAATCGCCAGCTTCTGATGTACTTGAAGGGCATCCACATGGGAGACGGGCTCCATTCCTCCTTGGAGTGCCTGCCCGCTCCCCTTGGAGGGGAGAACCCCCAAGGGGTGGATTCCCTTTATGGCAGGGGACTCCTCTGCGTCAGAGGTTTGTAAACGGAGGGGCTAGACCGTCCCCTGCCAGGAATGCTTTGAGCCTAAGATGTGGATTTCCTGCTTCTGGAAGGGCTTTGGATTCGGTGGCCCTTTGGGGTGGTGGGGTGGGGTGTCCCTTCCCTTCTACAGGGCTAGGATGCTGTCAAGGGTTGGTCGGTGGTGCTCTGCTTGTTCCAGAGAGAGAGAGAGAGAGAGAGAGGAAGCTGCAGTGCAAGGGTTCGCAGCCGGAATGCATTTCTCCACTCTGGTATAAAGCAACTCCCATCAACTCCCTGCCCCTCCCCATAACGTGAAAGCACCAGGCGACAGGTCCCCGTGTCCTGGTCACATCCTGCCTGAATTGGTGGAAGTGCTGTGCGTAATTCTCAACCCTGTGTGTATGTGTGCGTGTGTGCGTGTGCGCAGGGGTGTCTTTCTCTCTGATCCCCTTGGCTCCAGGGATTTTTCTGCTCTTCTTGGCACCAAAACGGATGAGCCAAGGAGCTCTGAGACTTGCATGTGGAAGGTCTGGAACAGATTTTCAGCAGTGAACTCTCGAGAGAAGCTTTCTCTCTCTCTCTCTCTCTCTCTCTCTCTCATGCTAAGGCACCTCTTTCAGCTTGTTAAGGACAGATACATTTCCAACAGCTTGGTGGGGGAGGTAGAAGAAGCACCTGTTCGGCATTTTCGTTTCCACATAAATAGAAATCTCCTACACCGGATCCCACGGGTGGTCCATGCATGGGTGCCCACTTGCTTCTGACTGCATGGGGGCCGGGGCAGCGGGAGGCGTAGATCTCCCCTCCCTGTAAGGGACTGGCAAATCCCCAGCCCCCCCCCTTGGCGTGAGGCCTCTGGTGGTGCCCCACCTGGATGGTGCCAACGAGGCCCCTTGCTTGTGGAGGCAGAGGAGAGGGTCTGCTTGTGGGGTCTCTTGGTGCGGATTCTGTGGATGGGGAAGGGCGGGTGGAGATCTCTCCCAATCTCTTTCAGGCCCCCCGCCCCGCTCCCTCCATCAACCCCTGCCCCTACCCAGGGTACGAGAGCAGCTGGGTGGCAGAAGTCTCTCTGCTCCACTGCCTGTTGTGTTCTAGGGGCTGGGGAGGAGTGGAAGCCCCACCAGGGCTGGCCTTTCCCTGGGGGCAGCCGGCTGATGTTTTCCCTGGGGGGGGGACTGGGATCTGGAAAAGCCATGGTGTGGCTTTTGAGGGCTCCAGCCAGTTAAGACTGCAGAACACTCTGGCCAGCTGGCATGGTTTGGTCACTTTCCGTGCAGAACACACACACACGCACACACAGACACACAAAATGCATGCCCCCCCCCAGAAGTGCTGCTATCTGGAACCCCGCTTAGAAGCCAGAATGGCGCCCAGTGGGGCTCAAGTGCCAGCGTGCCCCTCTCTTGGACGGTTGTCCCGTGTCAGGCGCCCGCCCTGAGAGCAGGGCAGGGAGCTGATGGGGCTGGGGATTCTGTTGGCACCGAGCGCTCAGGCAGTGATGCAGGCCTAGCCTGAATGTGTGCGAGCGCCAGTTTCGTCACAGGGCCCTCTGTCAAGAAGTGTTTTGCGCAGAAGAGGGAAAGATTATTTTTGTCACATATCGCCAGGCCTATTTTGAGTTCCTACAACAACTTGGTTTCAGGCTTTGCCCTCCCACTGAACAGATGTCTTCTGTGCCCTCCCTGGAAGGGGAGCGGGTCTTTCTCCTCCTGCAAGCGAGTGGCACGCTGTGAACGGCGGCGGAGGGGATCCCCCCTTTCCGGCGCAGCCCCTGCTCCCGGGTAGATGCTCCTCCTCCACAACCACGTGGCAGGAGATCCCTGTGGAGACGGAGAGACACTGCCGGGTGGCCACGGAGCATCTCGCCATCTTTTGAGGCTGTCTGGGGTCCCCACAGCCAGACAGCCAGGCAGCCAGGCCTCAATCGGGGCACACCCTTTGGGCATCTGGCTTTCAGAACATCCTTCTTCAAATAAGTCAGATTGTGGAATTGAAGAGCTGGAATGGGGACGCCAGAGGTCGTTGGGTCCCCCTCTCCCTCGAGGCAGGAAACCGACAGCTGGAGCATCCCTGATGGATAGCTTTCAACTTCCGGTTTAAATGCCACCTGCCTCCTGAGAAAGCCCACTCCCATAGCCTGTCTAGTTGTACCGTGTGGGCACATGTGGTCCCGGGCTCTTTGGATCCTGCCAAACGCAGACGATACGTTGCTCAGGTGGGGGGTGTGTGTGGAGGAGTAGGTCTTAGGGGCCAGACCAGTCAGACCAGCGTCCCGGGACTGACTTGTGTCTGCACTGGCGTCCAGCCCAGCGGCCGCCGTCCAGCGTCCTGCTGCACCGTTGCAGAAAAGGGGGACACGGTTCCCACTGGCCCTTCTCACATTGAGAGAATATTTGTCAGGCCAAGGGTGGGGGGGTGGAGGTGGGGGGTTCTTTCCTTGTGTGCCGCTTTTATGTTAACAGCAGGCAAATGTGGCCACCTCTACAGGTGAGCAGAAAACTCACCGTCCTAGTAACGCAGTGCTGTGAGGTCCTAGGAAGCAGGCCTCCTGGGGTCATGCTGTCCCTTGTTCCTTCTAACGCTCGTGGGGGGGGCTTCCTCAAAAAGGCGTGTCTTGGGAGAAAGGACCTGCCGGTGGGCTGGTGAAAGGGGGGCACGTACAGAAGGGTCTCACTGCTTGGCTAGCTGGCACATCATCCCTTGATCTTCTCGCTTGAGTTTCCCATCGGCTGGGCACGGTTGGGTCTTCAGCGCCCTTCCAGCTGGTGGGCAGACCCCCTTCCTCTCCCGTCCTGTCCCTTCACTCTTTTCTTTGCCTTTGGAAGGAGCGGCAGAGAAGAGCTCCAAGCATGGGGCTGAGGATCGCACTCAGAACATCATCATGGCCATGAAGGACCGCATGAAGATCCGTGAGCGGAACAAGCCCGAGATCTTCGACCTGATCAGGGACGTCTTCAGCGAGAATAAAACGACCCACGCTCAGCAGATGAAGACGGTGAAGCAGAGCGTCCTGGAGGGCACCTCCAAGTGGTCGGCCAAAATCACCATCACGGGTGAGCCACGGGGGGGGGCAAGACCTTTGGGGCCAAAATGCGCTCGGCGCCGGTAGCAGCTCTGGGAGGTGGGCTGTGCCTTGCTTTGCTCTCCTCCCGGCCCCTCTCAGAGGAGGGGGGGGCCTCTTTCCCAATGACGACATCCTCTTCTCGCCTCGCCAGTGGTCTGCGCTCAGGGCCTGCAAGCCAAGGACAAAACGGGCTCCAGCGATCCTTACGTCACCGTCCAAGTTGGGAAAACCAAGAAGAGAACCAAGACCATTTTTGGGAATCTGAACCCCGTCTGGGACGAGAAGTTCCATTTGTAAGTACCTGGCGGCGCCCCTTTTCTTTCGCTGATGGAACACATTTTATTCTGCTGTTTTGAATATAAAATGCTCATAAAATTAGAGGAGTCAGTATAAATCCAGTCACAAAAGCAGAAGGACATGGATGAAGACGATAATATTAGTCATAATAACTGAGATTGATATTAAAAATGAAATGCGCACAAACATGCTGATTCAGGTAAATACCAGCACACGATGAAGAACAATACGCTTTGCTTGGCCCCTGAAGGCCTTCTGGATGGGGCTGCCAGGGGTGTGTGTCAGGATCTCCTGACAGAAATGAGGGAGGGGGGGAGGAGGAGGAGAACCCCAGGCAGGCAGGCAAGAGGATGACGGACGTGCAAGAGGCACAGAGAAGGCCCTGTTAGCCCACCTGTCTCCAGCCCCCACCTCTTCACATGCATGCATGCATGCATGCACACACATGCGCACCCGCACTCTCATCCTCGGAAGGCACAGGCTGCTGCTAACTGGTCAAGTCCCTGTTCACAGGTCGAAGGTCATGTCTTTGGAGCGCCATTGAGAAACACACTGACCTCTTTTATAGCTAGGCGCCTGCCCTGCCTTTTCTCCAGGGGTGTCCTCAAGATGGGTGTCCTTCTCCCCATGGACGTTTCTCACGCCTGGATATTCTGGGCCTTTTGGGGCCTGACACCTCCTCCTCTTTGGGCCTCGGTGGCAGGCTGAGCCCTCTGGGCACGCTGCTCTGGGCAGTAGAGGCTCAGCCCGGCCCAGCCCAGATGCACAGCTTTGAGGGGGCAGCTGCTGCCTCTCCCCCCCCCCCCGGCAGCAGCAGACCCAGACTTCACAATAGGTGGGACATGTGGGTAGATCCCACAGTGGCTGCCGTGCTGATGCCCTTTCCCACGGCTGACTTGCTTTCCCCAAAGAGAAGCTTTGCCCAGCGGGAACATGCTCGTCATGGTCTGGGAAGCGAGGACCCTCCTTTTGCCTGGAAATGGCCGTGTCGGCAGATCGGGCTGTGGGAATCGCATGCCACAAGGAACTCCTTGTCCCTCACTGATTGCCGTGACACTGACGGAAGCATCCCGGCCCTCGTTCCCTGCAGGCTTTGCGAATGGAAGGAGTGTTAGAATCACAGCCATTAACCTCTGTGCATGCCCAGTGGAGGTCAGGGGGACCCACCTGGGTGGTAGGGAATGGTCAGAGTCCTGTCAGTCCTCACACAGCCTTGGCTTCTTCTGCTGTGGCTGTGCTGGGCCTTCTGGGAATGGCTGGAAAGGAAACAGCCCTTAAAAGGCCGGGGGGGGGCGCGGCAGGTTCAGCCTCTTCGCTTGGCCGGCAGGCCTTCCTGCTGAGTCCTCCCGTGCTGAAAAATGTGTGGATAAGGCCTGCTGAGGGTGTCCTTGGCGCACCTCGTCTGCCACCACGTGCTCAGCAGGCTGCTGTAACTGGTGTCAGCAAAGGCAAAAGCAGAGAACGGCTCACTGTGGGGAGTGCTATGGGAACCGCCAACTTTTACTGACCTGCGTCTTGAATGATGCGACGTCGTGGCTGCCCCACCCAAAGCTCTGAGTCTCCTGTACATTCCTCTGTTTTTAACCCCACTCCGCCTGCTGTCCATGTGAATCAGCTGCTGGAGGCGGGAGTTATAGTTCAGCGATCCGTTTGACCAGCAGGTGCTGGGGTGCCACCCATCTTGGACTCTCCTTTTCCTTTTCGGGTTTCCTGCCATGAGACCTCGAGCTATCCTAGTCCTGCATTTATTAGAACTGGCGTTCCTAAAGTCCGGCATATACACGTGCAGCTACGCTCTGCTTTTCCCTTCTTTACGTGACCGCTTTCCCCCAGAGTTCTCCTTTGGCTGCCACACCTTCCACCAAGTCCTCTCTGTTGGTTAGGATCAAGCTGGCTGCCACTCCTTCCACCGAGTCCTCTCTGTGGGTTAGGATCAAGTCCAGGATAGCTACTCCTCCACTTTTTGTAGGAGAAAATCTCCAGCCAACGCAAGCTGGGAATTGGCCTCCCAACAGATTGGAGGATAATTGAAGTCTCTCATTACTGCTGCGTCGTGTCTCTTTGAAATGCTTGCAGTTGTTTCCCAGTGGTTTCATCTGTCTCCTCGTCTTGATCGGGCTGGCCATCGTCGGCTCCAACAGCCATGTTCCCTTGGGATTTTGCCCCAGTTATTTTAATCCAGAAGAGGCTCCAGAAGCTCCTCCTCCAGTATTTCAATGCAGGGATGTGTATTTTTGACACCGCGTGCGACTCCACCTCCCTTTCTGTTCCTTCTGTTCTCTGTCCCTGGTGTGAAGTGTCTTTCGTCAGGGTGGGTGGGTGTGCCAGCTCCGTCTCGCCCCGGAAAGAGATGGGCTGCGCCACAGATAGAGAACCCAGGCTCTGTGGGCGGCTGCCACACATGGAGTCTGGCCTGGCCTGGGGGAAATGGTTTGGAGCATCCTAGCCATCCAGGAGGCTAGGAGGACTAACGGCAGGGAGGGTAAAGGATCTTCATGGGCTTCTGGGCTGAGTTCGAAAAGCGGCTGCCCTTTAATGCTCAGAGCCGGACCCCACTTGTCAATCCAGGAGAAGAGGAAGCCCTTCTCTGGGGTGGGATCCTGTCGTGCTACAGCTTACTCTGAGCACCTGGCTGTGAGGTCTCCCGTCTTGTGGGCATCGGTTTCTCTGAGCTTTTACAGCCACAAGGATTCAACCGTTTAAATATCTTTTGGTTGTTGTGGGTTTTCTGGGCTCTTTGGCTCTTTGTTCTGAAGGTTGTTCTTCCTAACGTTTTCGCCCGTCTCTCTGTGGCCATGGGCACTTTCAGAGGACAGCAGCACTCTTTTCATCTTGCATTTTTCCCTCTTTGTTGTTTTTTTCAGTGTTCCTGTTTGTGATTGATTGATTGTACGGATAAAGTGTTGGCAAGCTCTCTTAAGGGCTTTTTAGCACAGAAAGGCGTTTTTGCTGGCCTCGATGGGTGGCTGGCTCTCCGCCGCTGGGCTCCAGAAAGCTTCCTGCTCACCTACCCATAGGACGGGCATAAGGACACCACCACCACCACCTCCTGGGGGGTGAAATCAGGAGCCCAGCACCATGGCTTAGGGAACTCTGTGAGGCTGGCTTGCCGACACAGTCCTTGCCAAGTTTGCAAGAAAAAGGACCCCAGGGTCGCTGTGGTTGCTAAAGGACAGCAGAGCCCTGCTCCCAAACCCTTGCGTGCGATGGAGAAGCCGCCCTGCCCGGGCCTCACTTCCTTAACCCTCGTCTGGCCACTCGGCTGCTTGCCACTCTTTCCTCCCAGAGTGGGCAAGAGAGAGAGAGAGTCACAGAGGGTCCAGGGTCTGCAGGGGAAACCTTTTCTTTCAGCCTTGGCGTTGGTCCTGCCAAGTTGCGGCAGCAGGAGGTGGCTTGGGGGGAGCCTCGGGGAGGAGCTGGGGATCTGAACGAGTGGATTTCATGGCGGCAGCAGCAGCAGCAGCAGCAGTGGGCTTTAAGCAAATGGCCCGGCCCAGCTGGTAGCTGGTGTAGGCTTCGCCCTTCCAAACTGGAAAACAAAGTGCGAAAGGCTAATGGCAACCCATAAATCGCACCCTGTGCCTTTTTTTGGGCGGGGGGCAAACCCTAGCCTTTCCATCCTCTCTGTGTTAGACCCCAAGCATGAGGTCGGCCGTCCTGTGACGTTTCTTCTCCCATTCCATTTTTAATTTTTAAAATTTACCCTTCTCTTGCGAAGAGACGAGGGATCTGATTTGAAGCCCTCCTGAAGCATACAAGAGCAAACCGGTGGCCATTCTTTTCCTGTCGGGGTCTGAAGACGAGGGAGGGAAGCTAGCTGTCTTGGGACCCCCTCACCCACGGACCCCCACGAGGTGCCTGTCGGGAGGGGGGGGTGTTGCCCTGAGGGGTTCCGCTGGTGTGTCTTCTCTCCGGTATGTGCCAGAGGGCTGGTTGCCCTTCCACATTGGCTTCCTTCTGGCACACGCGGGGTTGGCGAATGGTCATCACGCCTTTCTTCGTGAATGGCCACGGCCTTATTAGACGATGGAGGCACCTTGAGCCCCTTTTATTCTTGACTGAGCACCCAGCCCCTGGAGGCACGTCGGGTGGAGTGTAATTTAACATTACGGGATCCAGAATGACCCTAGGCTATACCTTGGTTTGTGTGTTTTTCCCCCAAAGCTGATGCCAGTAGATCTGGGTATGTTCAGCGGGAGCCCTTCATGCCGTGAAAAGGGGATGATGTGAGCCTGCCTTTGCTCCCCAGCCCCCCCCCCGGGGGTTGACTCCGACTTTCTCCCAGGCAGACTCTCCAGACGAGTTCCTCTCCAAGGTGGGGCCTGGCTCTCAGGCTGGGGGGGGGGTCCAGTTCTCTTTGGACGTCTGGAGCCAATGGGCTGCAGAGCATAAGAAAGCAGGGAGGCCGGCAGTTTACTGGGCCGGAACCGCAGCTGAGGTCTGAATGCCTCTAACCTCCGCTGGCGCTTTCGGATGTAAGTGTCTCAAAAGGGGGACGTGGAAGCGCAGCTCCTCGTCAGGAGCATAATCACACATAAACGTAGGATTTTGACAAGACGCTGAGCGTGATAATAGGCTGGGTTCCTGCAGATGAGAGAGCCTGCCTGGCGGAAGCGTCTCTCCCAGCCCCACGATTGTTAACTCCACAGCGGGCGACTTCTGGAGGATTTAATGGTCATCACGTCTGTTATTCGCAGCTGCCTCCGTTGCCGCCTAATATCGATTATCCACCGCAGGGAGGCCTCATCGCTTCTCTAAACGCCGCAGTCAGCCCTGGGGATCAGAGGAAATAACCGCTTCATAATCGTCTGGTCATCTTTCAGTCCAGGAAACTGTTTTGCTTGGCCAAAGGGAGGGAGCACATCCGAAGGAGGGCCGTTTGGTCAGTCTGGGTCGTGGGGAGTTCCACGAGGTCATCCCCCCCCCCCGGTGGGTGAGACGTGACAGGCCACTCTCCGCCACATCCTGAATCCCTTGGTTGGGCACATGCGTGCGCAGGCCTTTGGGGGCATGCACAGTGTTCCACGGGCACCAGCGCTGGAGGAGAGAACCTTCCACGCAGGAAAGGGTGCTGCCCGCTCTCAGAAGGTCTCTTCGTTTAGAGAAGCTCCCCAGGGTCGTGAGGGCCACACTGAGGGCTTGTATGTGTGTGGGGGGTGGGAGCTCCAGAGAGATCTTCTCTCCCAGGTAGCCAAGAGGGACATCTCTGGTGGCATCTCTCGGGCCCGCGTGACCGGGGGCATCTACCGCTTCATTCCCTCGGATGGGCGCCCGTCGGCAGGACGTCAACAAGGTCCCGGTCCCTGAATTCCGGATTGCCGTCCGTGGCAACCGAGGCCAAAGAGGGGCCCGAGGGGCCGCGCACGGAAAGGCCACTTTCCTGCCCCTGCAGAGACTGGCGAGGCTCATGACCCATTTCTTCCTTTCCCCCCCCTCCATCTTTTTCCCGGTTGCTTGGCAACCAGTGTAGCCTTCTTAAAAAGGCGAAACCCCAGGCTTCCAGCCACGGGCGCAAGGACCGGCTGTAAGAGGCCCTCGTGCTTTTCTCTCTGGAGGCTGGGTGGCTGTCAGGGGTCGCTCAGAGGCGTCACCCTCTCGGTCACTGGCCCTCCTCGGTGCGCCTTGTGCTGGCCCTGGCTGCCCTGCTGCCCTGGCCAGGCAAGGAGACCAGGAAGCAAAGGCGAGGAGGATTGTGGCTCACTCTCCACCACCACCACCACCCCCTCGGGGCACACCGAGCGTGGTCCATCACACGCGGATGCCACGTTGTGTGGAGGGGTTTGTAGCAGGCTGTTGGATTTTGGCTTTCTCTGGCTTTCTCTTTGCTGCTCTTGGGAGCCTCCCAGGAACAAAGGAACAATGACCGCTCAGGCAGTGTGATTTTTGTGTGTGTACTGACCCAGCTTGACCCTGCGTAGCTGATGTAGGCCATTCTGTTCAGGGGGGCACCCAGTGGGGGGGGAATCGTGGGAGTGGGAATGGGGAACAGATGGAGCCCCCTCCAGCACTGAGATTCTTCCCTGCCCTGGTCCCTTCTGAACGGTGACCCTGGGACGTCTTGAGAACTATTTCTAGTGGGTGTTGTCTTACTGGGCGAGCCTCTGTGTATGTGCATGTGCGCACACATGCGCACGCATGCATGCGCATCAGTGGCGGTCTTCAAGCAGTGAAGGAAGGAGAGTGCAGCTCTCTCTCTCCCCTCCACCACCTGGTGAGGTGGGCAGGGGGCTCCCATGCCTTACCTATTGTGACACCAAACCCCCCAACCGCCCCATTTGCAGTGAGTGCCATAATTCCTCCGATCGGATCAAAGTGCGCGTCTGGGATGAGGATGATGACATCAAGTCCCGGGTCAAGCAGAGGCTGAAGCGGGAGTCCGATGACTTTCTGGGGCAGACGATCATCGAGGTGCGGACGCTGAGCGGGGAGATGGACGTCTGGTACAACCTGGGTGAGTAGTGGGGTTCGGCGCGGCTTGCCCAGGAGCCCCCGAAGAACAGGCGCCTGGTTTGAAGGACCTGCGAAGGCCTCCTTTCCAAGCCATGAGGGGGGAGATCGAGGAGGGGGTGCTGCTTAACCCTCCCTCCCTTGCACCGCCCCAGACAGAAGGCTGTCCGGATCTGGGCTGGAGTCTTGGCCATGCTTGCCTCCAAGCCCTACCCCTAGGTTTAGTTTTAGAAAAGGTAGCAGACCCTGCTGAGCCCTTCCTGAATGCATCAGGATAGCCATGCCCGGGAGCAGTGGTGATGCAGGATCCTCTCTGACTTCTTTAAGCCAGGGACAGGATCCTGCCCCTGAGACAGCAAGGGCCGTGGAGGGGTGTGTGCACAGGAGGCCAGTTCTCGGTAAGTTCCTTTGGGAATCGGGAACATAAGCAAGGCCATCCCATTAGGTGGTGAGCTCAGAACCGTTGGTGGTCCTGGCTGTGCTGCCTGATGATGCTTTCCAGGATTCCAGGCTTCTTGATCTCCTCTCTCTCTCCTTTTCTCTCTTTCCCCTCTTCTCTTTCCCCCTCCTTCCAAGGAAACCCTACAGAGCCGGCTAGGTCAGGTCCTTTCAGTAGAGCTGGGCGTTGTGTGTCCCTTTCATCCCAGTCTGTGCGTGTCTGCCGCTGGGCTAAAAGTCCAGGCTGGCTTTGGCAATCTGTGTTTTCACTGCTTCCTTTGGCCCTCCCCCCCCCCGGTTCCTCTGAACAGGGCGCCCTGGAAGGGCTAGTCCTGCTGACTCTTTTCATGCCCAGTCTGGCCTCCTTCTCTCCCTCCCTCCCTTCTTCTGGTGTGTGTGTGGAGGGGGGGATCAGTCCCTGCACCTCTCAAGCCTGTCGATCTTCTCTTCCAGAAAAGAGGACGGACAAGTCGGCCGTGTCGGGAGCCATCCGCCTGCAGATCAGTGTGGAGATCAAAGGGGAAGAGAAGGTGGCTCCTTATCACATCCAGTACACTTGCCTTCATGAGGTAGGTGGCTGCGCGGTGAGCAGAGCATCTCTCTGAAAGCAGCAACCTTGCCTTGGGAAGCCCTCTGTTCTCAGTGGTTCTGCCTTTGCCCTGGCTCTCTGGCCTGGATCCTCCTTTGCTCCCCTCCCCTCCCCTCCCCTCCCAGCCTTGTGACTTTTAAGAGAAAATAGGAGGGAGGAGAAGTGGGGGCTGGGCTCCATCTGGCTGGCCCGTTCTTTCTGGGTCATTTTATTTATTTATTTATTACTTTATTTTCTATACTGCCCCATTAGTGTCGAAGCAGTATCCCAGGTACCTTGCAAAACAGTTAAAATAGAACAAAAGCAAAAAACAAAACACTAAACAGTAAAATATCATAATAAAACAGAGTCTAAAAACTGGGGAACCCAGTGGGCATCGTCCTATCTCAGCCATTAGGTTTTCTCCCGGATGCCGCCTGCCTGCCAAAGAAGGCTGACGCGTGGGGGGGGGGGGGGAAGGAGGTCGGGGCAGTGGGTTGCCTGAAGTGCCTTTGGCCAGCTGCGTGGCTGCGAGAGGCAGAGGCCACACAAGGGAGGGAGCGGCCTTCCAGCAGCCCGGCCTCCAGCGGCTGTCGGGCAGCACCGGTGGGGGGTGGAGCTCTGGTTTCCACGTAACGGGAGCAGGAAAAGCCCCCTCTTTGTGGCAGCAGCTGTTCTTGCTGCACGGGTACCTTTGGGCTTTTCCGTCTTGGCTGGTTGCTGCAGGAGGGTGCGAGCGCACACGTGCGTGCTGGGCCTCGCACGGGCACGGTCTCGCCTCTCTTCATTACAGCAGCCAGCCGGAGCTCCCCTGAAAGCCTGGCACACAGCTGGGAGTTCAGAAATGACTGGCGACTGAACTTCTGTGCGCGTGGGGAGGGGGGGCTGCGAGGGAGCCCTTTGCATAACAACGGTGGCCAGCCAGCACGGAGTTGGTGGACAATGAGCCGGAGGTGGAGCCAAGCCCTCTTCTTACCTGAGCTTTCCCAGGTTCTTCGCTGCCCGTGTCCTCTGCTCTGTTCTCTTGGCTTTCCATGACTCACCCAAAAGGTGGTTTCATTGGGGCTGGAAAGACATCTTTCCCCCCACGCCAGCCCACCCCACCCCGCAGGTTCTACCTTTTCCTCAGAAAGTCCATTCTGCTTTGGGCCGCGGAGATGGTTCCTGAGTCCAGGCGGTCTGACCTCTGGCTGGACAGACGGCAGACAAGCTTGCCCCTTGTGCTGGCAAAGAGCCGAGAGTGGCCGCTCTTCTGCTCTGGCGGGATTCACAGCCTCCGCGGCACGCTCCTCTCCTGTTCCAGCCCCGATTTCTGGGTTGATCGTGGTGCTGCAGATGGGGAATGAAATTGCAGAGAAGAGGGGTCTTTAGGGGGTCCCGCTGCGCTTGCAGTGGCTCCCATGGGGAAGGAGACAGAGCTGAAAATGTTGGACCCTGGCTGTGATCTCTCTCGGGTGGGCTGCGAGAGAGCACCGGCGCCATGCGCAGCAGGGATTCAAACCCTGGTTCTCCAGAAGGGGAATCTTGACAGATTCGGGGCCTGCCTGTTCTGAGGAAGAGGCAGATCAAGGAACAAAGCAAACAGAGAGTCTTGATGGTCTCTCAAAAGACTTAGAAGCTTTATTTTGTTTTTTTGCTTTCTTGTGAGCCTTTTGTAGAATGTAGCCCCCTTTTTCTTTCCTCGAAAAGCTTACAGCAAATAAAACATGACCGTCTTGAAGTGACCGCAGGATTTGGGGGTGTTTGAATTGCTTCATTTCTGTCCCACCTGAGCTGATTAGTTGATGGACCCTGAATGCCATAAAGCACCCCAGGCCCCCTAAACGTGGCCGCCTCCGCCCACAGAGCCAGCCAGCCCCCTGCCCCCCCCCGGGCAGAGCCCGCCCTGGCTGCCTCGGGCTCGGCTGCCACTTGTTCTCTTCCAGAACCTCTTCCACCACCTGACGGAAGTCCAAGGAAATGGGGTGGTGAAGATTCCGGGGGCCAAAGGAGACGATGCCTGGAAGGTTTACTTCGATGAGACCGGCCAAGAGATTGTGGATGAGTTCGCGATGCGTTACGGGATCGAGTCCATCTATCAGGCTATGACGTGAGTTCGCACCTGCTGCTAAAGCCTTCCCTCCACCCTGGGCGACCTTGAAATGGCATGGGGTGGATGTGGTGGATCAGGCCTGACCGTCTGTCCCAGCACAGCCCAGGAAGGTGCTTGGGGGCGGGGGGGGGCTCCTGGAGCCTAGAGACCCCACAGCCGGGCTGTTTCCAAGCTGCCTTCCCCAACCGGCCGTCGGCCCCATCAGTCTGTGTGTCTGTGTGTGTGTTGGGGGGCAGGAGGTGTTTCTCTCCGATGGGCCGCTGAGCTTTGCCACCCAGTTCGCCCACTGGTTTCCCCTCCTCTTACGCCAGCCGAGAGAGCAGTCTGGCTCCCTCCTGGGTGTCTGCTCTGGCCAGCACCGGCTCATGCCTGCATACGCTGTTTTGCCTTCTTGCAAAATACCAGCAGCTGGCAAGCTGCGGTATGTGTGTGTGTGGGGGGCGGCCTGACCCAGGAGAGGCTGGAGGCCAGTGGCAGCACCAACGGCATCTCCTCGCGTCAGCCCCTTGGTGCTGCCGAAGCCGGATGAATCTCGTGAGGCCCAGGGAGCGCGTGGATTCCTTTGAGCAAATCCTGCCATCCTCAGGAAGGAAAGGGGTCCCATTTGCATTTTCTCATTTAATTGGTCTCATTAAAACACCAAAGAGGCAGCAGAAGAAGCGACTGCCCTCCCAGAAAATTACTCCACCATCATTTGGTCTTGTGGGATGATTAAAGTAAACTTTTTTTTAAAAAAAATGGTGCCATGAATAAGTAAAAGCAGTCCTAGAAAAGCAATTCTTCTGCAAGGCAGGAGGGGAGAGCCATACCCTTTAATTAAATAATTAATTAATACTAAAGTCTCTTCTCTTGGGGACCAAGAGCAGTACCAGGAGGTCAGCCTCCCAGCGCCCTGGACTGGCAAGGGTGCAGGCAGGACAGGCGCACTACCCTGGCCTCCCACAGTCACCCTCCCCACGCCCTTTGCAGGCTGTTCTGAGACTCCTGCCTGGCGCGGGTTTCCCCGGGATTCTGGCCGAGAGGAGCCCGCTTCCTTTTGACCCAGGCCACAGGGCTTATCTCGGGACTGGCACCAAAGTTGCTGTGCTGGAAACGGCTTCCTTGCCCAGGATGGCCTTTGCAGGCAGAACCTGGGAAGGGCCGCCCTGGCAAGTCCCACCCCCCACACACACACACACCCTGCTCCGCCCTGCTGCTCTCCAGGGGCCTTTGAGCTGCAACAGCCATGGCTCCCAGCCCCCCCCCCATGGCTCTTCCGGATGGAGAGGATCGCCTGAGAGGGACATTGGTAGTGGAGGGGTAGAAGCGTGCCTTTCCTTCAGAGGGCCCTTTTGTGGTCCTGAAAACACATCCCTTGAAAGGGGGGGGGGTTGTTTCTAAAAACATTTAAGCAAGGCCTCCATTCAGCTCTGGCCTGGAAGGGAGGTTGGGAGTCTCCCCAGTGCTGTCACCACCGCCACCGCCACCGCCACCGCGACACCTAGATGCAAAAGCTGGACTACCATGATGTCCCTGGTGTGGCTGTGTCAGGATCCCCAGGGGCTGCTCTGAGCACAGAGTGGGTGGCACCTGGCATGGCGTGGCACCGGGAGTAATTCTCTCTCCTGGCACAGCTGAGCGGGGAGGGGAGACACGCCTCTTAAACCCTGGGCTTACTGCCCACCCCCCAACCCCCTTGGGCTGTGTCTTCCCCCCCCCCAAGAGACACTTGCCCTTCAGCCTGCGTTGGGTTGGTGGAGAGGCTCCTGCTCTCAGCTGGTGGCTGCCGCTCGGTTTCCGCGTCCTGCTTTGCTCAGGACAGACGTAGGGGGTGGGGGGGCAAGCTGCAGACAGGCCTTGGGTTCCTCCCTGCTCTCCCAAAAGCAAGACGCGTCAGTCTGTCTGCCAGTGCTGCCTAGCGCGCTGGGGGGGGGCTGACGCTTGCCTGGAGGGGGGCTGTGTCTTGGAGAGGGCCTTCCCTGCCCGACGGTTGTGGCTTGTGCTTCCGGCAGGCACTTTGCATGCCTCTCCTCCAAGTACCTGTGCCCTGGCGTGCCGGCGGTGATGAGCACCTTGTTGGCCAACATCAACGCCTACTACGCCCACACCACCGCCTCCACCAACGTCTCTGCCTCTGACCGCTTCTCTGCTTCCAACTTTGGGGTGAGTGGCCCTCTTGCCTTCCCGGCCTTTCCTTGAGATCCAGTTATGGGTTTCAGCCCCATCCTGTGGCTTGGAAGGTCAATCCCGGCCGTGGGAGTTCCTTAACGCTGTCATCCTGCTGTGGCTGCAGGGGTGCCCGTGACCTGCGCTGTGTTGAAGGGGGTGCACGTGCGCAGGCAGCCTCAACACCTCGTAAGGGATCAGCGCCATCATCCTTTGTGGGGCTGCTGCTCTCCACTGCCAAACAGGCTCCTCTGCCGTGATAAACCAGTCCCTGCAAGTGGGCCAAGGAAACATTTTTGTTCCTCCCAAAAGCACAAGGAATGGTGTGTTTCAAAACCGCTTGGACTGACCTTGTTGCCCTGTGGGAATGAGGTCTTGCTCAATTTCCTTCCCCCACGGAGGAAGTGAGGTATGACAAGGGACGCCCGCTTCTCTGCAAGACCAAGGCTCTTGGGGTCACTCTGGCTCAAGAATTGCATTTGCCAGATGGCTGTTTAGCCCAGGAATGGAGCTGCCGGCCCGGTCACTAAAGGCAGGACTGCCAAGGGCAGATCTGGAATCCAGTTGTGTTTTCTCACGAGCCCCCCTTCTCCCCGGGCTCCCTGACAAGAAAGCTGGCCTCTCACTGCAAAACTGTGAGAAATCTTTTTCCGACTAGATTCACATCCTCAATAGTGATGTTGCCTGGCGGGTGGAGGTTCTGGTGCCGCCTCAGAGGTTACAGACAGCTCCACCCTGTTCTGTGCCCATCTGTCCCCCTGCCCAGATATCAAAGGGTTAGCCCCTTTTTCCCGGAGGGCCTTTGTTTCTTTGAAGGGGAAGGGCATCTCGGCTCTGGAAATCAGGCACAGATAAGTTTCAAAGCATGTCTTTAAAGTCTGTTGTGTTTGGCTTTAGAAAGAGAGATTTGTGAAACTCTTGGACCAACTTCACAATTCCCTGCGAATCGACCTCTCCATGTACAGGGTAAGTGCCGAAATTGGGAAGTCTAGGTGCCCAGCTTTTCAGAATCCCTGGGCAGCCCTCCGGTTGCTTGGGGCAGACTCCCTCGCCCGCCTTGTAGACTAGGCTGGCTTGCTCATCCCCCGTGTGAGAGCAGGTGAAGGCAACCCAACAACGTTTTGACTGGCCGGGAGGGGGTGGGGATACATTGGCTCCATGGACGCATGAAATGGAGTTCGGTTCTTTTTCCCTTGTTATTTTTTTTTTTTTTTGAATCTCAAGGTTCAGTAAGCAAATTGGATTCCAGCCTCTGGCTAGATTTGTCCAGAGGGGTGACCAGGCTGTAAGCTGGAAGGCTTGGGTGGAAAAAGGGAAGGAGCTGCTGTTCTGACAATAATGTTAATAATTTGGACAAGCTCAGGGTCCTCAGTTTGGCTCTGATGTCCTCTGGCTTTTAATGCATATCCCCCCCCCAATGTGATTGGCTGGAGGACATCAAATGGAACCGAAGTGGTGACCTTTTCATCTCTCTGGAGAACCTTTGCTTTATTCTAGTTTAATTGCACAGCTCATTATGATGAACATTATGCTGGCTGAGGTCCTTGCCATCTGCCCCAGGCCTCTGCTCAGCTGCAGCAAGAATTTCTCGCAGCTCTCAAGGCTGCTACATCTTGGTGTTGTGCCTCTTGAGCTTTTTAGCCCACGACGATTATTTTGCAGTTCCCCATTCCATGGCGAAATAAAAACCAATCTCCCCTGAACCACTGGCTAAAAACAGTACACGGAAATGCTCCGAGGAATGGCATAATTAGACATTGTAGAATAATGTGGTTCATGGTACTGAGAGAAGAAGTGAGTTGGTCCATGAGGAGCGGCTTCCTTCTGCCACCCAAAATAGTAGCGGATGTGGAGAAATGTAATTAGACTAATTTCTCATGATAAGACTCTGCTGCTTTAATGGCCTTCTAATGAATTGTCCCCCAAGTATGGCCGATGTTCTCCTGCCTTGGGTAGCTGCAAGAGAAGCTGTTTCCCATTAATTAAAAGTGTCTCCTGTCCTGTTAATGAGAAAGGAAGCTCACTCTGTCTCAGAAACTGGCAGGATCCCAAGAATCAAGTGGCATTTTTAAGCTGGTCCCTTGCTTAGAGCTGTTTTGCCTCTCAGATTTGGGTGTAGAAGAGTTTCAGAGCAGACCAAGCACCTCTTGCCCCCTTGGGCAGGTTGGTATCCTCCCTGTGACCCCATGGGCGGCGACTGCTGCCTCGCTTCCTCCCCTTGGCTCTGGATCCTGCCTCCGTCCAGCTGAGCCCTCGTAGTCATCCTTGGGAGAGACCTGGAAGGTCTCCCGGGTCCTTGGGCTGACTTCCAGGCTTGGGTTTTCCTTACAAGCTGGGCTCCCATCACAAGGGGCGGCTCATCCTGCCCTCTCCCTGGCCCCGGAGACCAGCCTGTTTGGGACCTGGTGATGCCAGGAGAGCCCACAGCTTGGCTCTTTAGGTGCTGTCCTGCAACACAAGGGGGGAATTTGTCTTCCTTCCCACAGAACAACTTCCCAGCCAGCAGCCAGGAACGCTTGCAAGACCTGAAATCGACCGTCGACCTGCTGACCAGCATCACGTTTTTCCGAATGAAGGTAGGGGGTCTGCTTTCAGGTGGCTGTCCAGCCCCAGAGGCCGGGGGGGTGGGGGTGGTCCTGGGCCAGCTCTTGCCCCCTCTGGTTGGGGAACACTCAAAGGGAGGCTGCGGAATGGCTAGGCTTCAGGCCTGGTTCTGCCCAGGGAAGATTTGCTCTGGGCGCAGCCTTTCCATCGCTCCCCTCCTCCCGTTTGGAGATCTGCCTTCTGCCACTCAGGAGGGCTGCAGGGAACCAGGACTCGGCCCCGCTCTCCCCTTGAGGCGTTTTCCTCCACGTTTCCGTGTGTGGCTCTGCCCTCTTCTCCTCGGCCACAGGCCCTCTTTCTGCCCAGTCAGTCACCTTCCTGCTGCTCCTGGTTTGGCTTCCAGCTGGTTCATCCCATCACACTTTGCTAACCAGACCCCATTGGGAGAGAAATGCAGTGCAGGCCAAACCCATTCTCTCCGGGAAGTCAGGATCCTTCGGTCTGTTTTGCTTTGTCTGGAGAGGACACTCGGAGGATGCAAAGCGCTGGAGAAACAGGAAATCTCTCCCGAAAGAGGTGGAAATGCGGACCGGCCGTATCGGACAAAAAGCAAAGCAAAGCAAGACCAAAACCAAAAGACAAAAACGGTCTCCTGCCTTAAAGGCGAAGTGTTGCATTTTAATGGGGGCTTTCATGGGTCAAGTCCATTTCCTCAGACCCAAGTTGAGACGTCATGAGACGCCATGACTGTCATATACATACGTGGTCCCCC